TACCCCAAATCCCCCCAAACCCTCCCCCAAATCCCCCCAAATGCCCCCAAACCCTTCTCCAAATCCCCTCGAAACACCCAAATCCACCCCCCAAACCCCCCAAACCCTCCCCAAATCCCCCAAACGCCCCAAAATCCCCCTCCAAACGCCCCAAAATCCCCCCCCAAACCCCCCCAAACCCCCCCAGGTTCCACATCAACCTGCGTGCGGGTCCTGGCGGGGACGTGATGCTGCACATGAACCCCCGAATGGACGAGGGGGACGTGGTGGTCCGAAACTCCCAGCTGGGGGGCAGCTGGGGCCACGAGGAGCGCGAGCTGTCCGGCCCCAGCCCCTTCCAGCGCGGCAGATACTTCGATGTGAGCGGGGAGGGGGCTCCTGGGGGGATTTTGGGGGGGATTTGGGGTGCTCAGAGGGGGTTTTGGGGATCTAGGAGGGGTCCTGGGGGGATTTTGGGGTGCTCAGAGGGGGTTTTGGGGATCTGGGAGGGCTCCTGGGGGTCTTGGGGGGATTTTGGGGGGGAGCAAGGTGGGATTTGGGGTGCTCAGAGGGGGTTTGGGGATCCCTGTTGGCTCCTGGGGGGATTTTGGGGGGGATTTGGGGTGCTCAGAGGGCGTTTTGGGGATCTGGGAGGACTCCTGGGGGTCTTGGGGGGATTTTGGGGGGGAGCAAGGTGGGATTTGGGGTGCTCAGAGAGGTTTGGGGATCCCTGTTGGCTCTGGGTGGATTTTGGGGGATCCGGGTCGGGAAGCAGGGCGGGATTTGGGATCTGGGGAGTGGGGTTTGGGGGTCTCTGGGGGGACTTTGGGGGTCTCCGGGGTGACAGCCCCCATTCTGTCCCACTCCAGCTGTCGATCCGCTGTGGGAACCATCGGTTCAAGGTGTTTGCCGAGGGGCAGCCGCTCTTCGACTTCCAGCACCGGGCGCCAGCCGGGCCCCACGTGGACGTGCTGGAGATCGAGGGCGATGTGGTCCTGTCCTTCGTCCATTTCTGACCCACAAATGTCCTTTAAGCGCCCCATAACGGCCCCAAAACAAAGGCCTTGCAACCGCCCCGGAACAGCCCCCAAGTGCCCCCCTCAATTGTCCCCCCAGCTGTGCTCTCCCAACACTGACCCCAATAAAAGCTGTTCCTGCTCCAGCTCGGGAGACTTGAGGGGGAAAATGGGTGGGAAAGGTGAGGGGAAAAGAGGGAAAAGTGAGGAAAATGTGAGGGGGAAAAAGGGCAGGAAACGTGAGGGGAGAAAAGATCAGGAGACGTGAGGGGAGAAAAGGGCGGGAAAACGCGAGGGGAAAAGAGAAATGTGAGGGGAGAAAAGACCAGGAAACGTGAGGGGAGAAAAGGGCGGGAAAACGTGAGGGGAAAAGAGAAACATGAGGGGAGAAAAGATCAGGAAACGTGAGGGGAGAAAAGAGCGCGAAATGTGAGAGGAGAAACTTGAGGGGAGAAAAAGGGCGGGAAACGTGAGGGGAGAAAAAGGCCGGGAAAACGTGAGGGGAGAAAAAGGCGGGAAACGTGAGGGAAGAAAAGAGCGGGAAAACGTGAAGGGAAGAGAAACGTGAGGGGAGAAAAAGGCGGGAAACGTGAGGGAAGAAAAGAGCGGGAAAACGTGAAGGGAAAAGAGAAACGTGAGGGGAGAAAAAGGCCGGGAAAACGTGAGGGGAGAAGGGTGAGAAACGTGACCCTCCAGGATGTCCCTGCGGGCCCTCAAAGACCACCTGGGATCCCTCAAAACTGCAGGATCCCCCTGGCTCGTTACTGCTCCCTCCACTGCCTGCCCAGTTTGTCCCAGTCCCTCCCAGTCCTTCCCCTCCATTTCGCCCAGTCCGGGACGCGGCCGGCACTGGGAGGGGGCGTGGTCAGGGCGGAGGGCGTGGCCGGGACCCTCGTACGTCACCCCGCTCTGTGGGCGTGGCCAGGGAGCGCCGTGAACAGGAAGCGGCGGTGGCGTCACTTCCGGAAGAGCCGCGAACATGGCGCTGTTCGAGCAGATGCGGGCCAACGTGGGGAAGCTGCTGCGGGGCATCGACCGGTACTGGGAGCACTGGGAGGGACTGGGAAGGGGTTTGGGAGAGGACTGGGGGGATCGCAGGTGTGTCACAGACCCGCTCACCTGCACAGGTACAACCCCGAGAACCTGGCCACCCTGGAGCGCTACGTGGAGACGCAGGCCAAGGAGAACGCCTACGACCTGGAGGCCAACCTGGCCGTGCTGAAGCTGTGAGGGCTCCGGGGGGGCTCGGGGGAGGGCGGTTTGGGGGTTCCCCGGCCCTCAACCCCCTCACCTGGGCTCACCTGGGCTCACCTGTGCAGGTACCAGTTCAACCCCGCCTTCTTCCAGACCGGGGTGACGGCGCAGATCCTGCTCAAGGCGCTCACCAACCTCCCGCACACCGACTTCACCCTCTGCAAGTGCATGATCGACCAGGCACACGTATCCCGGGCAGGGAATTCCTGGGGAGCACCCCCATTCCATGGGGAACCCCCCTAATCCTGGGGAACCCCCCCCCCAGTCCCATGGGGACCCCCCCTTGTTCCATGGGGAATCTCCCTAATCCAGGGGAACCCCCTCAGTTCCATGGGGAACCCCCTGGAAAACCCCCCTATTCCATGGGGAACCCCCAGTTCCATGGGGAACTCCCAGTTCCATGGGGAACCCCCCAATTCCATGGGGAACCCCCTGGAAAACACCCTCCACTTTCCATGGGGAACCCCCTGTTCCATGGGGAACCCCCTGGAAAATCCCCCCTATTCCATGGGGAACCCCCAGTTCCATGGGGAACCCCCCCAGTTTCGTGGGGAACTCCCCAGTTCCAGAGGGGATCCCATGGGGAAACCCCCAGTTCCATTTGGAATGGAACCAAAGTTCCCCCCCAGTTCTGTTGGGAATCCCCCAGGGAACCCCCAATTCCATGGGGAACCCCTCAGTCCCATGGGAACCCCCCCAGTTCCATGGGGAACCCCCCCAATTCCAGAGGGAATCCCATGGGAAACCCCCAGTTCCATTTGGAAATTGAAATCCATGGGAAACCCCCCCCCCCAGTTCCATTGGGGATCCCCCAGGGAACCCCCAATTCCATGGGGAACCCCCCCAATTCCATGGGGAACCCCTCAGTCCCATGGGAACCCCCCCCCAATTCCATGGGGAACCCCCCCAATTCCATGGGGAACCCCTCAGTCCCATGGGAACCCCCCCCCAATTCCATGGGGAACCCCCCAATTCCAGCGGGAATCCCCCTCCCATTTTTCCAGCTCCACATCTCGGGGTTCCACCCCAGAGAGTGATGCAGCAGCATTTTCCTGGATTTGGGAATTTTGGGGGGGGGGCTGATTTTGGGGGTGAAACCCCTGGGAACTTCCCCGATCTCATAGGGAACCCCAAATCCTGCAAGGATCCCTCCAAAATTCCATAGGGACCCCCCCCTTTTCCCTGCCCCACACCTCTCAGTCCCACCTCAGAGAGGTCAAATCTGGCATTTCTTCCCTCAAAATCCCCCCAAAACCTGGATTTTGGGGCTGAGAGAGGGGAAACTTTTGGGGTTCAGCTGAGGGGGCTGCTCCTTTTCTTCTGCAATTTTCCCTTGACCCCCCAAAATCTCAGCAAGAGGAGCGGCCGATCCGGCAGATCCTGTACCTGGGGGAGCTGCTGGAGACCTGCCACTTCCAATCCTTCTGGGTGAGTCCCCCCCAAATAAAAAAATCGGGAGGGAGGGGGGGGTCCCCAAAACCCGTCGAGACCCCCTAAAGGTGGGGCTGACCCCCGGAATTCCGGCAGCAAGCGCTGGATGAGAACATGGAGCTGCTGGAGGGGATCACCGGCTTTGAGGACTCCGTCAGGAAATGTGAGGGAGGATTTGGGGGGGTCTGGGGAGGGTTTGGGGGGTCTGGGGAGGGGGTCCTGGAAGGGTTTGGGGGGGCTTGGAGGGGATCTTGAGGGGGTTTGGGGGTCCTGGGTTTTGTTAAGGGGTTGCTGGAGGAAGCTGGGGTTGGTTCAGGTGGGATTTGAGGGTCCCTGAGGGGGTTTTGGGGGGAGTTGGGGTATCCCAGAGAGGGTTTGTGGATTCTGGGGGGGTTTTGGGGGGAATTTGAGGGTCCCTGAGGGAGTTTTTGGGGTTTAGAGGGGTTCTGGGGGGGAATTGGGGTATCCCAGAGAGGATTTGTGGGGTTCTTGGGAGGTACCAGAGGATTCTGGGGGTGTTTTGGGGATTCTGGACAGTTTTGGGGGGCTCAGTGACACTGTGGGGATCCTCCCCAGTTATTTGCCACGTGGTGGGGATCACGTACCAGCACATCGACCGCTGGCTGCTCGCCGAGATGCTGGGGGACCTCTCAGGTGAGGGGGCCTGGGGGTCCTGGACGGGGTTTTGGGGTGTCCCAGGTGGAAATTGGGTTCTGGAGGGAGTTTGGGGAGGGTCCTGAGGGGGTTTGGGGGGATCTTACAGTGGGTTTGGGAGATCTTGTTGGGATACAGGGGGTTTGGGGGGGATTTTGGGGGTCCCTAGGGGGGTGTCTGAGCCCCCCCAGACCCTGCTGTGCCCCCCCAGAGTCGCAGCTGCGGGTGTGGATGAGCAAATACGGGTGGACAGAGCCGGAGCCGGGGCGGATCCTGATCTCCAACCAGGAGGAGAACATCAAACCCAAGAACATCGTGGAGAAGATCGACTTCGATAGTGGGTTGGGGGTCCTGGTGAGGGGTCGGGATAGCCTGGCAGGAGTTTAGGGACGTTTTGGAGGAGTCCTGAGAGGGGCTTGGGAAGTATTAAAACGATATGAGGATATCACAAGAGATTTTGGGGGTCTTGGGGAGGTGCAGAGGGGCCCTGGAGGAGATTTGTGGGATCTTGAGAGAGTTGGGGGCAGTACAGAAGGGTCCTGAGGAGTTTTGGATAGGTTTTGTGAGTCTGGGGAGGGATACAGGAGAGGCCCAGGGGTGTCTGAGGGAGCTTGGAAGTAGAAGGGCGTCCCGGACCCCCTCTCAGTTCACCTGTTTTATCTCACAGGCGTGTCCAGCATCATGGCGTCATCTCTCTGAGACCCCCCAGAACCGACCCTTCAACACCAGCCCCCCAATTCCAACCCCCCAACCCAGTTTAACCAGTAAAGAGGCTCCAACGCGGGACTGGCTTCATTCCTGGGGGTCGCCAAAATGGAGGGGGGGCGCCTGAGGGGAGGTGGGCGGGGCTTGGGGGGCAGGAGGTGGGCGGGGCCTCGACGACGCCTATGGGGAAGTGGGCGGGGCTTTGGGGGGCGTGGCCTCAGTGGCGCCTGAGGGCAGAGGGCGGGGCTCTGCCTCGCCCGTGCGCGCGCGGCGCGGTGGGCGGGGCCTAGGGCGCGGCGCCTGCGCAGTTCGGGTGCGGGGGGGGGGCACGATTCGGGTCCGTGTCGCTGGCGCGTCCTCCGCCTGTCGCGACATCAGGGCGGCGATAATGGTGGATTACCATAGCGCGGGGCAGCCCCACCCGTACGGCGGGAACGGGCCCGGTCCCAATGGCGACTATATGGCCCAGGAGGACGATTGGGATCGGGATCTGCTTCTGGACCCCGCCTGGGAGAAACAGCAACGCAAGGTGGGGGGTGCTGGGGGGTCACTGAGGGAGGGGAGGGAATCGTGAGGGGATTGGGAGGGGCTCAGGGGCTCCTGAGGGGGTTTCAGAGTCGGAGGGGTCCTCTCGAGGTTTCCTGAGGGGTTTGAGGGGTCCCAGAGGCGTCAGAGCGGGGCAGGGGGAGCTGGGCGGTCCGTGAGGGGATCCATGAGGGATCGGGGGGTGTCTGAGAGCTCCCTGAGGGGATTCGGGTCTGAGGGAGACCCTTTGAGGGGTTCTGGAGGGGGCTGAGGGGGGTTCATGAGGGGTCAGAGCCCGGCACGGGGAGATTTGGGGGGCCTGAGGGCTCCTTGAGGAGACTGGGGGGGGCTCTGAGGGGTCCGGGGGCCTCCCAGCCCGGGCCGGGGGCGTCTGAGGGGTGCCAGGACCTTCTGAGGGGTCCCTGGGGGGGCTCAGGGTGTCCCCGAAAGATCCGAGCCGGGATCTGAGGGGAATCAGGACTTTTGGGGGGCCCCTGAGCGGGATCAGAGCTGGAGGAGCCCCCTTAATTCTGTGTGGGGACACTTTGGGGACCCTCAGGGCTGTGTTTTGGGGTGGGGGGGGATACGACACCTGAGGGACCCCAGGGGTGAGGGGTGGGGGTCCCCCAGGGCTGTGCTCGGGGGGTCTCCCGTGCTGGGCGAGGGGACATGAGAGGAAATAAGGAGAAATAAAAGGCGGACAGCACAATTTGAGCGGATCCCCAGGGATTTTCCCTGGTTCCGGGGGGGCTCTGCAGGGTCCCCTCCCCGCTCCATTCCGGCTGGAGAAGCTTCCGGAGAGCTTCGGGACGGGATAAAGGGCACTGGGGAAAGGGGGATCCGCCGGGATCCGCCGCATTCCCGGGGGATCGGGAATGGGGGGGGTCCCTGGATCGTCCCCACACCCAAAAACCGGGACCCTCCGGCGTGGGAACCGCCGGGAGCTGGGAGGGGCTGGCCCGGAATTCCGAGCGGGCGCCGGAGTGTTCCGGGTTAATCAGTGGAGACGGGCGGAATTCCGGCAGTTTGGGGTGAATTCCCTCAGTTTGGGGTGAATTCCCTCGGTTTGGGGTGAATTCCCTCGGTTTGGGGTGAATTCCCTCGGTTTGGGGTGAATTCCCTCGGTTTGGGGTGAATTCCCGCAGTTTGGGGTGAATTCCCTCAGTTTGTGGTGAATTCCTTCAGTTTGGGGTGAATCCCCTCAGTTTGGGGTGAATCCCCTCAGTTTGGGGTGAATTCCCTCAGTTTGAGGTTTCATCTTCTCAGTTTGGGGTTAATCCCCTCAGTTTGGGGTTTCATCCCCTCAGTTTAAGGTGAATTCCCTCAGTTTGGGGTGAATTCCTTCAGTTTGGGGTTTCATCCCCTCAGTTTGGGGTGAATTCCTGCAGTTTGAGGTTTCATCTTCTCAGTTTGGGGTGAATTCCCTCAGTTTGGGGTGAATTCCCTCAGTTTGAGGTGAATTCCTGCAGTTTGGGGTGAATTCCTGCAGTTTGGGGTGAATCCCCTCAGTTTGGGGTTAATCCCCTCAGTTTGGGGTTTCATCCCCTCAGTTTAAGGTGAATTCCCTCAGTTTGGGGTGAATTCCTTCAGTTTGGGGTTTCATCCCCTCAGTTTGGGGTGAATTCCCTCAGTTTGGGGTGAATTCCCTCAGTTTGAGGTGAATTCCCGCAGTTCGAGGTTTCATTCCCCGAGTTCTGCCTTGAGTTCCCTGAGTTTTGCGTTCAGTTCCTGTCAGTCGCTTGAATTCCCTGAGTTTTGGCGTGAATTCCCTCAGGTTTCAGTTCATTTGTTAATTCAGATTTGAGCTCTCTGTGTTTTGTCTGTAATTCGCTTAAGCTGGGGGCGAATTCCCTCAGTTTGGGGACGACTTCCCTGAACTTGGTGTTGACTCCCTGAATTTTGGGCGAATTTCCTCAGTTTGGGGTTGACTCCCCTCAGTTTCGGGATATTTAGGGGGGGATCCCGTGGATCCCCGGCACGGAGACACCTCGGGATCGGGAATGCTGGGGTCCGTTGCCATGGTTACCTGCCATTTTCGGGTTTTTCTAAGAAAAAAAAATCGGGTTAAATTGGATTATTTTTGGCACAGGAAGTGCAGGATGAGCTTCCTCCTCCTCT